CCTGCTGATATTTGTGTGCACAGATGACATAATTCTTCATTAATGTCCTGTAATATTTATGACATCACTTGTTAGAGTGAATTTACAACATATTGTGATCAAACATCAGCTTCATAAGTCAATCTATAAATACAAGTGTTTGGCATAAATTATTTACCAAAGTTCCAAACCTTCAAAAGGCCCGTTAATAAGGCACGGGATGCCTTGCAGCTACCTGACTCTCACCAGTGTCTCTAGATGGAGTCTTGCATAAGCTACATATGTGGTTCATGAATAGGTGAAATAAAGTGGATCTCATCTCAATTGTGTATTGCAAAACAGAATTGGTAATACAGAAAAGGGACTGTCAGTGCAATATCCAGCAAACTTCCTAATCTTCAGCTCCTTTGCTTTTAACCAGAATTGCTCATACTGATGTTTTTTTCAGCAGTTGGATTTTTTTTTAGTATAGGAATATCTTAATATCTCAACAAGCTAATTGAAAGTAGAACACAGTGAACAATTCTCACATCAGTGTTTGACAATGCTAGGGAAACAGAAGTATGATCTACCTCGGTGAAAGCATATTGGAATCTAGTAAATTAGCATTATGAAATTGGTGGGCCATACAACTAAATTAACCAGTGCAAGCAGACAGTGGAACACACAGGAGCAGTTTGCTCCGAACAAGAATAGGTAATAGTTTCCTTGGTTTTGTTTTGGGGTTTTTTTTAGTAATAAATACCTTTGTAGGTACCAAAAGCATCCGCAGCTTCTTTGTTACAGATGAAAAGTATTAGAATTTGAGGCATATCCAATGACTTAAAAGAGGAGGAAAATAGAAGATGAGTAAAACAGAAATGTTCATCAATTTGTAATGAAACAGCATAATCTATATACCTGACCTTTTGTAACAACAAAAAACAGGTACATTATTACTGAGAAAAACAGACTGTTATGTGTTATACTGTGATTTTAATGATACTGGTGATAACAGGAGGATCCAAAAGTAAAATTTAATGAAATATTTCAGAAGGGTTGCCAGGAGAAACTCTTTTCAGTGTTGGAGTTGCTTATAGGAATGGACCTTTAGGGAAAGTGAATGATCTCTTTTGGTAGATGAGTGCTTCTGAGCAACCATATGCTTTGTTTTGAGGGACAAATATACTGTGAAATTTGTTCCTAATGCACTTATTCTCTTAGAAAATAAAATTATTGAAAGAGTTTAACATGCATTCCTGTTTTTCAAACACAGTACAAAGTGAATGTGTCACTGCAATAAATAGATTCTCAACTGGGGAGAAGGGGGTGCAATGAATAAAACCTGATTGGGAACAATGTCTTGAATTTGCTCATATATTCTCTAATAAAAATTCTTCTAGCTAAAAGTAATTGCTGAAATATGTTATTTACTTACAATTTATGTTATTTCTTCTACAGAAAATACCAGTCTGCTAACTCCTTCACTGTCTCTAAAGTAACAGGTAAGTATTTATTTCTTATAAACTCACTACTACTTTATGTTTATTCTAAATAGCCCACATTTTTTTGTTTCCGTTTTGCTTTCTTCAGTTCAAGCTATCACTTGTGAAACAACAGTGGAACAACTGTGCCCATTTCAAAAACCAGCCTCACACTGTCCAAGGTAAAATTCTTTTAATTTTATTAACTTAAAGTGCTGTCATATTTTCTGTCAGTTACTGATTATCTTAAGTTGGCATTGATAAAGGTGACAACAGTAGCTGTAGAAACAAAGTCAGAAATGTTTACCTGATATTTTGGGTTTTGGTCTCAGTAGAAGGCCAGGTAGGTAAATATGATCTGCAGGCTTTTTCATTAATAGAATCTTTTTCTTTTACCCTTAAAGATCCTGTTGCTAATCTTAATGAAATTGTCATTGGTTGGACTAAAGACTGTGAATAAAAATGCGTTTTTATTTTTCTTTGTCCACTATTATATCTGTGCACCTTGGGCAAAATATCTTTTATTACAGTTTATTTACCCATGAAAAAGAAACAATAGAAGGATATGATACAGATATTTATTGTGGAAGTTAATAATTTGTTTGGGAGTTCTGGAGGAACTGGATTTTAAAAAAATTAAAATATATATGGTTAAGGAAAGGTGTGGTCTGCAGGTCAGTAAACAGCTCTAAATATCTGTGCCATTTCTTTGAAGCCTATATTTTAACTCTTTGAAAGGAGCCTATGCCACAATGTTTTGATGAATGAATTTGGTAACAGTTCTTAAAACCATAGATGAGTCAAAGGTAAATGCGCTGTAGCATGATTTACCGCAAACTAAACTGGAGATATCCACAGAATTACCTTCATAGCAATCCTACAGCCAATACAGGAAGCAAGTACAAAGCCAGAACTGCTAGGAAAACATCCCTTCATGTAGCACTTGGGTCCCTGTACTTGTTTGGTCTTTGGCTATGACTCCTGACTTTCTAGCTGGAAGATGTGGAGAAGTAAGCTGAGGAGTGGAACACAGGAATGGATGGGTACAATCTCATACTTCTCGCTTTTTCTTTTATTTCTTCATTATTAAAAACTACACTTGCTTCATTAATAGAAAAATAATGTCTATCTTTAGGAAAATTAAAAAATATAAGTAAGGTTAAAAGTTACTTCACAACAGGAGTGATTCATTCAAGGTGCTGTGCATGCTCTTAACTTAATTCTGATAATGTAGTCTCAGGAATTGCAATCAGTAATCAGCTATGACATTGATTACACAACCTCATTTTCCCTCTCACATCCTAATCATAAATCAGCAGGCCTTCAACAGGTCTCTTTGACATCTTGCTTCCTTCTGACAAAAGTGTCTTTTTGAGCCCCATTGGCCTGTTTTAATTATACATATGAAAAGATTCCAGCATGCTCAAGTGAGCATGGATAGCATCTTGGAGAAGAACACTTGCCCTGTGTAGGGTGGCTGCCAAGTCATCGGGTCATGATCCATTTTTTAAACGAAACAGCTTGGAGTAGATCTAGAGTCGACTGACAGTTCTTCCTTGTAGCATATTGCAATTAGCAAATAAGATGTTTGATGTCTTCTGTACTACTGTTAGCTTCCCACATGGTTTTCCTGTGCATTTTGAAGCTATAGCATGCATGAATCACAGGAAAGTTTTCCTAAAAGGTTAACACAATGGAGTTGAATGAAGACAGTCTTTGTTTCGGTAGCTTTCTGATCTAGAATCACCTAGGAATCTCATTACTTTCCAAAATTTTTCATTTTAGCCACAGATGCCAATGTTCATCTTCATTATAAGTTGCTAAATTGGCTTGTATCAGCAGGTCGTCAGCATCATGGCAGGTCCTCGCTCAGATCTGCCTCTTCTGAGAAGGTATTAGCTGTACAGTTTGTATAGGATGCTGTAGAATCAGATAAATTATAGAAGAGTGAACAGTCTCACTGGTTTTTTACTAGCCTCACATATGTTGAACAAGAACACCGTCTGCTTATCCAAAGGGAATAAGACCAGACTTGCTAAAGTATGATTTTAAGCACTTCATTATTAACCTCAGCTTATATCAGCAATGCTTTCACCCATATGATCAAAGCCTCAAAAACGACAGCCTTTTAATAGCAGTATAGACCCATACGCATGCATCGTCAACTTGTTTTACACTCAATAATGCTGACATTGAACGTGATATAGTAATACTCTGATATTCTTCCTAACTGTATGTGGTTTATTTTTGATCTTTCAGGGTGTATTGTCCTCACAACTGTATGCAGGCAAATCCACACTACGCTCGTGTAATTGGTACACGAATTTATTCTGATGTAAGTATTATAGAATGAAATATAAAACCCTATGAAAACTTGTAATGTAAAGATAATAAGAGAGAATATAGATATACAGTTTTCCTTCATATGCTGATTTTTCACAGTCTTTTCAAAAGTTCTTTTTCAGCGAGTCCCGTTTAAGTTAATAGTACTCAGCTGCTGAAGATATGGGAAGTATCTTGTCCTGAAAACACTTGTTGTGTCACATGTGTCAGAAGTACTTTCAGTTTAGGAAGATAATTGATGTGAGCACATGGAACCAGGTCCTTAATGTGTATAAGAGAGACAGTGAAAATAAATTCAGGCAAAGTCCATTTTGTAGAACATAATTTTATCTCAGTTCTGTGGTTGCAGTCAAAGGCTACAGCCCAACTTTCCCAGCGAGATAGAAAAGGCTTTGTTGGAGGAGAAGGAAGACCCAATTTTTTTTAAACTTAGACAGGAGAACAACTCAGAATATGCACTTTCTTTGGCTGGAGAAGTCCCAGGTGACTTTAATTAGTATTATAGTGTAATGCTTTAAAATTATTTTAGATGTACTATCTCATTATTCATCTCCATTGTATAGAAATGTGTGCAGCCATACTGCTTTTAGGAAAAATTGGACATAAATAACAGGTAAGAAACCAGGGATGGGTGCCTTCTTATCAATTTCAGATCTTGTCAGAGTAGATATTTACACTGAAGCTGCTATTCTGGGTTGTGTTTGTAGTACATACAGTATAGTGATAAAGGAGATAAAAAGGCATGGGCAGAGCAGAATTCATTTGAGTTTTTCGGCGTGTCTACCTCACTGTGCGATGAATTGCCAAACAGAGATGTCTATTCCTTTCCATTTCCTACAGAAGGTTCCTGGGGCATCTAGCTCAAATGTAGGTAGATGTGTCCTACCTGTGTTTGTACAGGTATTCCCATTAATGGTATCAGTATTGCAGTTTTCTACAATGCTCCTTTTTGCCAACATTTAAATTATTCTAAAACTAGGTTACTTTTTATTGATATTTCCACTAATACAATTAGGCATTGTGTGCATTATAATACATTATTGAACTAGCTACAGGTGAAGTATTTATAGAGAATAATCTGTTTAATAAGTGTGTCCTCTTTTGCAGTTTTTCATGTATTCACAGACAGGTTCATTCATAGATGTAAAAAATTCATTTGCTTACTTGTCAGAGCAAATGTATTTGAAATTGCAGTCTGTGATCTACTTGGCTGATTCCACAAGATAGATTTTTTTTTGTGACATTCCTTCAAGTTCATATATATGTCTGTGGCTGTATGCATATATGCATGACTGTTTTTTTTACATTACTATTTAGGCCTCTTGGACTGAGTAAATGAAGAAGATTTTGCAAAGACGTTAAGGAAAAAAAAGCAAATAACATTAATAGATGTCGCTAATGCAAAAAATATGTTGACAAAATCATTTTTATAGTATTCGTGAGAATCTAGTTAAACATTTCCTTTTCTGGCTTTGGTCTGATTAGACATCCATTCTTAGACTTATTTCATATTTTATGGTGGCTTCTTTTCCTCTCTGTTCCTGAGAAGGGTTGTTTTCTGGCTTATCAGTAGTGCCTCAAAGGATTTTTTTCGTCCTATTCTTTTTAGTCTTTGACATTGCAATGACTGTCCCTAACTCAATTGAAACAAAATCTCCCATTATTTCATCCTCCATTCTATCTGTCTGCTAGTGATTGTCTCTTTGTCTGTGGCAGATAAATCACAGCCAAGGTTCATATAGCCAGCCATCTATAATCTTACATTTGTGGGGAGTTTTCAGTAATACACAACCCTCTGCATTCTGTCCAGTCTATTTTTAAGTTGATGGCTTTTTGTTCCACTTGTCTGGAGGCAGATTGCAAGCTCTTTAAAACAGAAGTATCTCTTATTCTGAGTTTATGGTGGTATTAGGATTTTCCTGGCTAGAGCTATTATGGTATGAATAAGAACTGTAGTATGTGTCATTCTCAGCAGACAGAAATACATTTACTCGTTCTTGATCTGTCCCAAGCACATTGCTACCTTTGTGTTTTGTGTCCTTGCTGGCCCCACTGCTGAGAGCTTCCACATCAATGCCTTCTCTTGTTGGGAGACCAGGATAAATGAGAGTTTCCTCCTATCTTGTGCTGAAGACCTGGTTCCGTCTTTCAACTTCAGATAATCCATTTTGTCTAATTTTTTTGAGTCTTATTTCTGGAATTTCAGAATTGTGTCATGTTGACAAGCATGTTAACAATATCTGTGTTTTTAAAGCACTTTTCAATATGACCTTATTTGTGAAATAAAATAAAAAAATTCACAAGAACTGAATCATGTCAGGCCTGACAAGATTGTCTGATCTCTGTTGAAAAACAGGCACCTGCCTGTATAGAGATTTTCCTTTGTTGTTGCTGTTAGTCCCTGGAATATCAAGGTACCAAAATCTAAAAAAACAGAGAGAAGGAGAAGCTACAGTAGTTCCCTTGAAAGTTCTTTAACTTGTAGAGTTTTTTTGTAAAACTTTATTTTAATGGACACATCTTAAACCTGTATATGGTAAAAGTTCTTAACTTCCAGTTGCCTTAGAAGAATTTCTGAAGAGATTAAGGTTTATATTTATCCTGTTATTTTCACAGTAGGGAACATTTTCCTAATGACAATCTCCTATCACTAGTGACTCTACATTATTAGCGTTGATGGTGCAGTTGTACCAAAAAAATGGTGCTGGAGATCAACAAAGAACTTCTATCTAAAGAATTTGATGGAATTGTGTAGTTTTATAGTATCTGAGGACTTTGGTCATATTAATTTTTGTTTCAGTAACCATATGTGGAAATATTCCCTAAAACTTGTGCAAAAGTATTCTTAATTCTGTGCTGTGGTAAGGCATAATGGATATGATGTAAAAAAGGTACTAAACGATTCTGTAGTCCTGTGACAGCACGTTAAAGATGTTTGTGGTTAAAATGCCTTTGCAGAGGACTGTGCTGTGGTAGATATTTGCTGTTTGCTGAGTATCTGAAGAAGGGAAATAATTAGGCAACTTGATATTCAGATTCTATGAGCTGTCGAAAATCTAACAAATTTCAGAGTGTTCACAGCACAGTAATAGAGCAGGGCCATATATTGCTGTATGAAATGTTTATACTAACTTTAAAATACTGCTTTATATCCTTTTGAGTTTGTTTGTCAAAATTAGAGACTAACTCAAATGTCTGATGAGGCCTTCCAGAAAATGACATAAGACTGCTAATATAAACCACCAATAACGTGCTGAAATTTGTAATAGACATTAAGTGTGAAATCCTGTTCTGCTTAAATCAACAGGAGGCTCACCTTAACAGTTCAAGAAGTGTGATCATGATGATAGAATATTATTAAGCATAGGAAATATTATGGCATCTGTAATGGAATCTGATTCCATTTAGATTAAGATTGCTAAAACAGTGAGAAATTCTTGAAAGATAAAGGCAGATAATACTTTATTTTAAAAAAAGTTCTGCATATATTGATAAAACTATATGCATCTGTTCATATATATTCTTACAGGCTAGTTCATAATTATGAATGTATATTCTATTCAGAAAGTATGCACATTTTCTCCAGTCTCATCTGGAAAGCAGCATCAGAATATCCATTTATTTTTCATCTGAAAATAGCCTCTGAGTTGGCCTAATCAGCCCCATTCTTCTCACCTCTCTTTTTTCACATATCCCATATAAATGTCTTTCCTTCAGATTTGAAATATTATACATTAGCCTAGCCATACTTCATTGATCCAGTAACAGTTGTGGTACCAACCCTAACAATGACTCCAGTCTTTGCTGGAAATAGTTTGCAACAAGTAGTCAGCCTCTTCTGTCAAAATCTCCATTCCATGACTTTTCCTTTCCTTTTTACTTGATTAGAAACTTCCAAATAAGATTGGAACAGGCAGTTCTTAGCTGCCCTCAAATGTAGTTATGAAGGTGTCGCCTTACCTAATGATGTAAAGGGCATAGACTTTCAGTTACTATTACAGAGGTGAAAAACTATGATCTTTCTTTTTGTCAGTTGTATCTCTAGCATTTTTTTACATTTCCAATGTGAATGGAAAAGAAAGTTACTATTATGCTTGGAATGAATAATATTCTTCTAGTTCTTCATTGTAGTTAATTGCTTGTAAATCTCGTCTTTTGTTTCTTTAGAGTGTAATCCTGTATTGCAGAGGCCATTTTTTCCCCTTGGGTATTTGAATTTGCACATGATCAGTCTGCTCTTTAGCTACTCCCACAGTATGAGTAAGTAAGGGATGCTATAATCCTAAGAATAAGGCATCTATTACTATTCAGGATATAACAGAAGTCTTGCAGCCTTGGGAGGAGGAAAAGTACAGAGGAGCATAAATGGCATCCCTTCTGGCATATTCAAAAACTGCAGCCAGCAGTGTGGAAAGAAAAACCCCAAAGCATCTCTGCAAAGATTATTTTCATAAACAATTTCAGATCTTTTCTGCTTTAAATACTGTAGCATTAAAAGACAAACTATATAATTGAAAGACAAACTATACAACAGTGAAACTGGCAAGTCCTGTGCTTGGAATGAGAGTAGGAAAATCATTGCTATTTTAAATTCCTGATTTTTTATATAGCATTGAGATTACAAAACAGCCATGGTAAACAGATATAAATTATTCCAATTATAACTGGAAGAAATACAGTTTTTGTTTAAATAGTGGTCTGTGTGACCAGCTATTGATATTTATATTGGCTAAGTTTTTTACGGTTGCTTGTGGAGGGACCTATTGCAGTGAAGATTTTCCACAAAACAACTTGTCTCCAAGTAGAGAATCACTGTAGCTGGAACTGTGCTTTACTGTGCTATGTATTGAAATTGGGACCTACTTTCTGGAGTATCTAAGGAGTTTAATTCTTCTGGCAATTTTTAAAATGTTAAAAGTGTAGTACAGGTCTGCAGGTTTAAATCAATGATTTAAATTAAAGTTATCATCATCCTTTTGTGGATATTATTTATGCTTCATAGGTTCGTGAGAGGAATTGGTGACCAGAGAACGTTGGTTTCAAGCAGATGAAACTGCTCTTAACTTCACAGAGAATTTTCATAGAATCATAAAATACCAAGTTGGAAGAGACCTCAAGGATCATCTGCTCCAACCTTTGTTGGCAAACCATGGTTTAGACAAGGTGGCCTAGCACCCTATCTTAAAAGTATCCAATGTTGGAGAATCCACCACTACCCCGGGGAGATTTTTCCAATGGCTGATTGTTTTCATGGTGAAAAATTTTCCCTCTTGTGTGCAATAGTTTTCCCAAGAGTAACTTGCACCCATCACCCCTCATCTTTTCCATGTGACTCCTGTAAAAAGGGAGTCTCCTTCTGCTTTGTAGCCAGCCTGTAAGTATTAGAACATGGTGATAAGGTCTCCCCTAAGCTTTCTTTTCTCAAGACTGAACAAATCTGATTCTTTCAGCCTTTCCTCATATGGAAAGCTTCCCAGTCCTTGGATCACCTTTGTGGCCCTTCTCTGGACCCTCTCCAACCTCTCTGCATCTGTTTTATAGCAAGGACCAGAACTGAACACAGTATTCCAGATGTGGACTGACAAGCACTGAGTAGAGTGGGATAATGATTTCTTTATCTCTGCTGCTGATGCCTTTGCTGGTAAAACCCAGCATCCTGTTGGCTTTCTCTGCCTCAGTGGCACACTGTTTACTCCCCAGATCCCTTTCCACAGAGCTGCTGCCCAGCTGGGTAGGTGCCTGCAAGCTCTGCATTCCTGAATCATGTATACGCACTCCAGGTGTCTTTGTTGAATTGCATAAGGTTCTTGTTAATCCACTCTTCCAGCCTATTCAGGTATTCCTGCAGGGTGGCTCTCCCTTCCAAAGTGTCCACTTCCCCACTCGGTATCATTGGCAAACTTCAGGTAGACTTAATCCTATTATTGAGTTCACTTATGAAGATATTGAACAGTGTTGGGGCCAATACTAATCCCTGGGGGACCTCACTTGTGACAGGTTGCCAGTTTGAAAAGAAGCTATCTGACACCAGCCTCTGAATGCTGCCTGTCAGCCATTTTACCACCACTACACAGACCCTTTGTCTAGACCATATTACAGGAGTAGGCTGTGGGAAACCATATCAAAAGCCTTGGAGAAATCCAGGTAGACAATATCCACTGCTTGCCCTACATCAGCCAAGCAAGTTACTTTGTCATAGAAGGCGATGGCATTTGTCAAACACTCTTACCCTTGATGAGCCCATACTGGCTTTTCCCAATCGCACGCTTCATTTGACTCGTGATGACCCCCAGGAGCATTTGTTTCATAACTCCCCCAAGGACTGAAGTAAGACTGTTAGGCCTATAATTGCCTGGATCCTCCTTTAATCCCTTCTTGCAGATAGGGGTGACATTAGCCTTCTGGTCATCTGGTATGTCCCCATCTCCACAGCTTCTCAAAGATTAACAGAGAGTGGCGCCACAATGACATAACCAGCTCTCTTAAACACCCTCAGGTGGATGCTGTCAATTTTTAGAGGTCAAGCTTCTGTAAGAGTTCATGTACCAACTTCAGCACTGATGGTGAATCTGTGTTGGCATCAACTTGGATTTCTGTTCACAAGGCCTGGGGCCCAGCAGTGCTGCATAATTTTGCCTATGAAAAGTCTGCGGAATTATAACCTGATTTAAAAATTCTTCTTTTGAAGCAATTGAAGACTTTTCACCTCCGACTATTTCCTCATCCAATGTTGAGGAGATAAAAGCCATTAGTCTGCCATTAATCCTCTGTCATAGCAGAGGAATGATTTTAGACCTATATCTTCTGTGTGATGCTCAGATTATACCTTTAATCAAATCAGCTTTTAGCATTTATCCATGCCTGGATAGGAAATTGTGATGTCCCCTTTGAATATGGATCATTTCACTGCTGCTTAAGGTTTTGGACATAGAGATGGAAATAAGTACAGTTTATTCCTCACCTTTTGGGGTAGGACATTTTACTAGAAACATGACTGCATGTACTTTTGCGTTCTATGGTTCCCTGACTGGAGATTAAACTGAATCTTCTGGTCTGTAATAATTGGCCAAGGTTTGGATTTTATTACCTCTCTGTTGTTGAAATGAAAGCTGATAGATTCTTTCATTTTGAAAAGCTCAAGAATTCAAACATATTCCTGATTTTTTAACTGAAATAGTCTGAAATAAATTATTTTGGGGTCATGCTGCAGGTGATTTTTGAAGAGGCAGTGTATGTATTCCTATAAGTTGACGTAATTCCTATGAAACTGATTTAAATGTGTAAGATTAATAAAATTAGTCATGCGATAAATAGAATTATTTTACATTTCCTAAGCTTGGTTTAAATGTCTCTATGTGTTTTCTTCTAAACAATTATGAAATAAAAGGATGAATGAAGACTAATCTTTTCCTCATTCTTTCTTAGATATCCAGTATCTGCCGGGCAGCAGTACATGCTGGTGTAGTTCGCAACCAGGGCGGTTATGTTGATGTTATGCCAGTAGACAAAAGAAAGGTGTATATTGCTTCCTTTCAAAATGGGATATATTCAGAAAGGTACAGAGCCCATTTTCAAATATTACACTTTACCCTTCGCCTCAATAAGATTTACAAAGTCTTGCATTGTGTCTATTTGTACCTGGGACAGTGCTAGAAACCGACCAAACCGGCCAAATGTGTGATTTACAGAGCTTGTGTAACAGCTGTGGTGACTTTGGAGAAGCTGTGGTGGCAGAGGTGCCTGCCTCCTCTAAGCTCATAAAACATTACTGTGAAAAGCTTCTTACCAAATAAAATACAGCTCTTGTTTGCTTTGCTGGTTCTGTTGCAACTAACACAATATTTGATAAGAAAATTGCCTTTACTTTCCTAGGGACTTTTTAAAAATTAGCATTACTGATGCAGGTTCATTGGTTCCTGATGAACTGTTCATTAGTGATTTACATGGTATTGAACCAGTGATCCTGGGCCATAAATAATATTCACAAATATTAAAATTCCCAATCATTGAAACATATATTTAGTTTCTTTTTTTTTAATAGTTTGTCTGTTGTTAACAGTGTTTCTCTGAAAAAAAATGGAGATGCTGTGAAAGTTCATTTAGTTGTATTCAGTGTATTTGTGCATTGTAGGATAACACATGGCTGCATGTTGCAGATTAATTTTAATCTATGAAAGACTTCTCCAGGTTCTAAATGAAGAAAGAGAAATTATCTTTAAAAAATTGTACCACTCCTTTAGTCCTGTAAAGCCACTCTTTTAATCCTGTAAAGCTAAGAATTATTGGAACCTGTAAAACTATAGTCTTTCTAAGAAATTGTTGGGAGAAAAAACCTCCAAAAGTTTCTGCAGAGAAGTAGGAAAAGGTAGAGTCTTTTTTTATTGTTTTTAAGGGGAATGTCTACTCTCTTTCCTTCAAACCTTTCAGCAAACCTGGAAGCTTGTAAAATAATGTTCTTTGCTTAGTGGATGACTTATTTTACTTATTCTTTGACTTTCCCTATGGTCATCCACTTCCCTTAGAAAAGGTGCTTCCTTGCTTACTTTTTTGTTCTCCATATAAATCTCCTCATCGAGTAGAGATGCAGCTAGGAAGAGTGTTGCTAAATTAATCATTATTTATAC